GTAACAGAGGCATGAACAGAGGGCCTTGGGAGCAGAGGACACTGGGCAACTCTCTGGTGTCTGGGAAGCTTGACAGGGAAGCAACATTTGACCTGTCATTAGTGATGGATGAGACAAGGGGGAAGAGACAAGTGAAATCTAAGTAAAGACCTGGTGCGTTTAGAGACTGGATGGAGTATCCTAGCGGAAACAGTATGCTGGTCATGGGGAAGCTTGGGGAGGGTGAGACCAGAGGCAAGGTGAAGTTAGTTTGTGGGTGGCCTTGAATGCTCACCTAAGGAGCTTTGACTCAGTGCAGAAAGCAATTGGGACTTGCAGAAGTTCTAAGTCAGGGGACTGATCAGATTGCTATAGAAGGATCATTTGAGCAGCACTGTTGAAAAGGATCTAAAGGGAGGTAGAGGCTGGAGGCAGGGAGTCCTCTCATCTGGGAGGCCCTTGTGGCCTTTGGGCTGCTGGCAGCTGAGTCCCTACGCCTTTCTTTGCTTCCCTGTATCCCACTAGCGTCCCTTTCTTGATCTGCCCCTCCCCCCTTCCACTCCCTTACCTACTCTCCCTACTTCCTTTACTCTTTTCCTTTCTCCTCCACCCTTTCTTCCTGAGAGGACTGGGAAACCCTAATCCTGGACAGGCTAGAATAGATCCTTTTGCCTCCTTTCGTACTTAATACTTCAAGTAAAAATTTCTGATGAGAATGTGCTTCTGGAATAGACAGTTTTTATTCATGAAAGAACTGATAAACTTTGGCACTACACCATCCAGTGATGTGTCGGTGAACAAAGCCTGGGTATATTCACAGGTGGCAACAGGGTGTGGTCGTGAAATGACCTTGTTTACAGACTTAAGGCACCTTCTAGCTCATGCTATGGCATCATCTCTACATCCTTTGGCAGTTTCCTTGGCGTCCCCCTCACACTCTACTTTGTCCTACGGGGTGCAAGACAGTCGCACCAACAGTGAAGCTCCATAATGCAGCTGGTCTGGTGGCACCACCCTGCTAGTTTGAACAAGTAGGAAAACTTTTCAGCAGAATCATAAGCAATGGGAGGTGAAAACTGCGCTCACACTGACCCTAAAAAGTGCTTGTCAAACACACAATTGCAAAAGGTACAGCGTAGTAGTCATAGTTTCCTCCACAATTAGAAATGGAGTCATTTTTTTTTTTTTTTTTTTTTAATTACGATCAAGTCAACCTGAGTGTGAAGCAGACCGGCTATCAGGAAGAGTTAACACAATGCAAAAGTAATGGGCATTGCTTTTGTGAGTACAGAGCGGAACGTGCAAACTTTCGACTTGGCAGGAGTCTTTTTCAGACGTACCCTGATACATAGACAGTTATCAAGTTGATGATAAAGGATGTGTCAATCTTTAAGATTTTCTTTTGGTCTTTGCTTTTCTGTAGTATATCATTTAGTTATTGCTGCATTAAACAAAACAAAACAAAAACAAAAAACACTCCACAACTTAATGGCTTTAAACAATGACCATGGATTATTTCTCACACATCTATGGGTCAGCTGGGCAGTTATGCTAAACTCAGTGGGGCTCGCTCACGTGTCCGTGGTCAGTTGGCAGACTGACCAAGAACTGGAGAGCCCAGGAGGTCTGGGCTCACTCCAGGTCCAGCCCACAGGCTAACCTAGGCTTGTGCCTGTGGAGGGGAAGCATTCCACTGGGTAGAGTAGAGCGTGCAAGCCTCCCTTTGGCCAGAGTTCATTAGTTCTCATATTAATAAATATGATGTATCCTAGATACACACCCTGTATCATCAGAATTTCTTTTTGCCGGAAGTAAAGGGATAGAGGAAGCAAAAGGGTATACTCTATGTGCCAAACTGCCACACCGTCACTTCTGCAAATGTTGTTGGTCACCCCAGAATCAAGTGGTGGGGACGTTGGTTCCATCTCTTGATGGGAGGAGCTGCCAACGACAGGAGTAGAGATTTGAGGCCATAGTTTTGCAATGAATCTATCAATCTACCTTCTGGACAGTTACTCACATCCTTCTTACATCACAGCCATCTTATGTTCACATTTTCCTCTCGCCCACAAGACTCCCCAACATCTCACCCAAATCACAGCATCAGCCTCAAAGTATAGGATCTTATGATTTACAATAATACAATGTTATTCATACAACAGAATGTTATTCATACAACAGAATATTATTCAGTCTTAGAAAGGAAGAAAATTCTGATACATGGTACAACACAGATGAACCTTGAGGACATTTTGCTAAGGGAAATAAGCTAGTCACAAAAAGACTGTATGATTCCACTTATACAAGGTACCTAGAGTAGACAAATTCAGAGGGATAGAAAGTAGTCAGATCCATAGGTGGTTGCCAGGGGCTGGAGAGAGGGGTAAATGGGGGGTTGTTTAACGGTTATAGTTGCATTTTTGCAAGATGGAAAAGCTCTGGAGGTGGGCTTGCACAACAATGTGAATGTACTTAACACTACTGAACTGTACACTTAGAAATGGTTAAGATGGTAAATTTTATGGTATGTGTAATTTAGCACAATTTTTTTAAAAGCAAAAAGTTACCATAGTTTAAATAAAACAAGACTAATTATACAACTATGATCTTACATCTATAATAAGAGATGAGTCAAGTAGGATAGGAAATTTCCAAGAGCTTCTTTTAACACACTAGTAATCACTGTACAGTACTCTCTTCCCCCAAATAAATGTTGGATCTGAGATTCTAGAAGATACCACCTGCTTCCAGTCCCCCAAACTCTGGGATTAAACCAGAGGAAGAAGCAAAAATTTTTAGAAACATAGTGAGTTTCTATGCATAACAATAGGATTTAAGAATTTTCCAGGGTTGTCGGCAAACTCTATCCTCCTTCAAATGATTAATGATGACACACGTTTGTATTATGTAATACCTCTATCCAGTACCAGTCATCTGGGCCAACTTCTTTGCATTCTGGGGAACAGATGTTCCCTATTTATCATTGCTTTCCAGTGTTTAACTGTTTTTTTGTTTTTTTTTTTTGCGGTACGCGGGCCTCTCACTGTTGTGGCCTCTCCCGCTGCGGAGCACAGGCTCCGGACGCGCAGGCTCAGCGGCCATGGCTCACGGGCCCAGCCGCTCCGTGGCATGTGGGATCCTCCCGGAC